ATAGGGAGTGGCTTTGAATGCCAAACACTCGCCCCATGGAAAGGGACTGAAACTCAGATCTAATTAATTTCTTTAATGTATCCAGATAAGAAAGGCAGATCTTTCTTCTTTTTTTAAATTTTATTTTGAGGAGCCAAGAATAGCCATTTAAGAAATGCTAAGTCTCCATAATTAAAGTACTTGCTCAAGGGGCCAGCCAGCGGGGTGTGGTGGTTAAAGCAGCTGGATCTCACATGACTGGCTGCATGGTTTGCGTCCAGGACCAAGCAACTTGAAAGACAGGGTGGGTGCATGTGTGTGCATTCCCAAAATCTCAAGAGAAGAATGGAGAAAGGGGATTTCAGCATGCCCATCTCCTAGGGGGTGTGCTTTCTCACTTACCGTCTCTGTCTCTCCCCCTACCCTGCCTATAGCAGATTAAAAACAAACGAACAAACAAGCAAAAAGCTTGCTCAAGATTTTAAAAAGTGCCTGAGTCAAACCAAACATGCCAGCAGGTGAGATTCAGGTGAGGGATACCCAGTGTAAGAGCTCTGGATTTATCATATGATGCCAAAAAAGGGTTCAGATAGGGACTTGGGGGTTGCCAACGGTGACCTTCCCTTTAGCTGAGGAGATGCGTGTTGGCGAGCAGTCCAGGGGTTTGTGTTTCAGTCTCCGTGCTGGGTGATCTGGGTTGAGTTGCTGAACCATTCTGGGACTTAACTTTCTCCCTTCATGAACTCAAAGGGTAGGCAGAGCACTAGCTTTCAAACTGTGTTCCTGAAGTGTGTCGGGGTGGGGGTGTGTGTTCTGAAAGCATTTGCTCTGAGTTTTATTAAAATAGTGCTGTTTCCTGTCTACCTGCCAACTGGAGTATATTTGAAACTGTAATGACAACACTTGCCCAGATATATGTGACATCAGATTTTAATACATTGGAGACCACCAGTGTCTTAACTCAGTTACACATTGGGCACATTCAAAATAAAGATGAGGTCATTTGAACTTCAAAAACAAACTACTTTTATCCACATGTACATACACATACATTCATAGAGAGATACGATGATACAGACGTGTATGAAATGTGCACCTCTATACATGTAGTTCCTCATGAGATTCTTTCTGTAACAAAAGGTGATTCTGTTGCTAAACATACACTTGGAAACTCTGGCCCAGGATCTCCAAGGTCATCCTCAGCTCTGCATCTCCAAGTTCACAGAACCTCACCAAAATAACCCCTCTGGTTATGTTTTTGTCTGTGTCTTTGGAAGAGTTCATCGTGCCCCGAGAAGGGGAAGATGAACCAACTGGTCTTTGCAGGGTGGTTGGTCCTCATCCTTCCCATTGAAGCCAGGCTTGGCATTTTGGGGACAGAGAATGATGGGTTGTGCTGACTCTTCTTCACGTTTCCTCCTCGATGACAACGTCATTTTTCACAATTGAGGCAGAGTAAACTGGCCAGTTCTCCTCTTGCTTCGCCTGACCCACATCATGGGTGCCTTTCCCGCCTTCTTGACTCTAGAGAAGAAACAGACGCCAGGAATCAGTCCACCCTACAATGCCACGCATGCCTTTTGAGACATTTTCTCCTTGGTTTTTATTGCCTGGCATCTGAGTTCCGTCGGAGGGCCACCTGGTCTGCCATTTTCGTGATCAATGGTTGACCTTTCAAGGCCCAGTTTTATAAAGAGCTGTTGGATCGTTTTTCTGAGGGTGATAAAGGAGAGCGAGGAAGAATGATGGTCTTTTAGAATTGAGATCTGCGCTATTTAAAAATCTCATAAAATGCTATTTGATTTTAAACATTGCTTGAAGCAGTTCACATTTTGGTTAATTACGTCAGTGGGTAAAAATAACTATTGTCATATGGTGTGTGGGCTTGGTTTTAGAAGGATAAAGAGTCTATTGTTACCCATTGTGTTATCCAGTCACTTATTACCCATCTTTAAAAACCCAACGTGTATAATAGAAAACCCAAAGCTTTGCCACTTGCTAAAATTCAGGCTGCATTGTGACTTTACCTCCAACCCCGCCTCCTTTGAGAACAAAGCAAAAGCTGTCTTAATTTAGTCAATTCAGATGGCTTGATGGAACCTGACCTCAAGACCCAGGCCAGGCAGGGGATTGTGACCTGTAGCCCTGGAATCACCTGTGGGTTCCATGGTCTCAGTTGAGACTTGCCTAGGGATGAACCAGCTGCAGGAGTGGTTAAGGTCAAGGGCTTCAGTAGACAGACTGGACTAGAATCAACCTTACAGAAGCTGTGAGATGCTGGGTCAGGAACTCAGCTTTTCCCAGCCTTGTGTCTACATCTGTGAAATGGGGATAGATGCACTTGCTGCCTCCTGGGGTTGTTATAAGACTTCTGTGAGATTACATAACGCAACATCTGTTGCACAGGGCCGAGGGCCAGGAGCTAAGGGCTCAGTCAATATTATAATCAGTAAAATGAGGGCCAGGTAGAGGTGCAGTGATAATGCAACTGGAATCCACATGGAAAAAGTCTTAGGTTCACCTTCTGTGACCTCCCTGAACATGGTAGGTGCACACACACATGCCCATGGAGACCCTGTTGGGGGGTGTCTATCCCTCTCTTTCTCATTCCTTCTTTCTCATGGAAGAAATAAATACACTTAAAAACATTATAATAAAGTAGAATAAACTAGCATTAAGTTCCCACATGGTGTCACTCTTCTGGTGGTGTTCTCTACCCCTCTTCCCCTGTGTGTTACCCCAATGCCACGAGAGTCTCTCCCTCTCTGTCCGCCAAACTCACTAGGTCCTTGGGCATCCTCTATCTATTCGACCAGGGGGCTCCCAGCTGCCTCTGTGCATGGCATTGCCAATTTCTCTTGGCCCTTCTCTTGCTCACGAGCTCTTATAGAGTCAAGATCACCTTAGGGACCATTGGTGTCTCCAGGGTGGTAAGGAGTGGGGTAGGGTGGGGTGTGGAGCAGTTGCAGAAGGTCATCAATTGAGCAGAGGGGTGGTGGCCTTTGAATTTCTTTGGTGAGGCAGGAAGAGCGCTCTTAGACTGGAAATAAAGGAAGCTTGTTTTGTTTAAGTTCTCAGGAGAACTCAGACTGGATCTGGATTGCAGGCACTTTTGTCACTTTATAATTGAGGAACTGGATGACTCAGTTGACCTGCAAGTCTCAGAGCTCACAGTGACAAGGCAAGTTGAACTTAAACCCCTTGACCAGCCTAGTATATACCTACCAGATTCACTGGCTGTCAGTGGGGACGTGACCTGAACTTTATGCTGCCAATTCCTGGTGCTCCTGCAGACCCCTGTGCGCCAGGAGGAGGCCGACTCCAATCTTCTACACCAGGGAGTGCACACCCCTCTTGGTTTCTTATAACTCCATCCACACCCTGGAAAATAGACCCCCTTTAAACGCCTCACCGTACTATAGTTGGGTATGTGTGTCCTCTGTCCTGGCCAGGATCATGACTAATACATGTTTTAGGAAGAATTATCAGGGCCAGCAGGTGGCATAGTGGTTAAGGCGCTGGACTCCCACATGACTGATGATAGTTCAAGTCCCGGACCCAGTAGCTTGAAACTCAGGCTGGGTGCGTGTTCTTTTGTGCCCAATATTGTGAGAGGAGAATGGAGGAAAAGGGATTGTGGTGTGGCCATCTCTCTGGAGGGTGGTTTCACGCTTTCTTTCTCTGTCTCTGGCTCGTGCATGTGCCCTATAGCAAAAATCTCTCTTAAAAACAAAATAAAGAATAATCTAGGCATTCTTGTATTTCACTGTGGATTGAACAGAGAGACCAGAAGAGAAGCAACCAGGTGAGTGGATAAAGGAATAGGGCCTGGCTCTCACCCTTAGTGTTCACATAAGGCTTCAGTTTAGGCTTGGGTTTCTTGTATTTTAGATAAGGGATTAAAAAATGTCTACTTATTTTGTCCATGAGTGAGATAGAGAGAGAGAGAGAGAGAGAGAGAGAGAGGAGAGAGAGAGAGAACGAGGGTACGAGCTCTCCCAGGAGGGTCTTAACACTGCCACCCCCATGCCCCCTCGCCTCAGCCAGCCCAGGGCCACGGGCACATGCACGCCTAGTGTTCATAGGGAGGTTGCCGGACATGAACCTGGAACCTCCATGTGGGTTTGCCTCACAGAGTGCTGCATTCCACCGCTGTGCTGCCATCCAGGCCCCACCAAACAAGGGATTGCAGGGAGCCAAAGTGATGCTTTGGCAAATTTGAAACAAAAATATATTGCAGCAGTACAACCCTGTTCTAGCACTTCTTAATTTTGTGTGTACATGTACCAGAGCTCCAAAGAATAAAAATGGAAACAGCCTGAGTTTTTCTCAGCCCCAAGGGGAGATCATTACTGTGATTTAGGACTGGAGGTTGTGAGGACTTAGTATATGGTGACCACAGTACAGGAGTGGCAAAGTCAAAGTATGCTGGGCAGGGAACCTTTAAGTTACCCACCAAGAGTGATGGAGAGGGGAGAGCCAGAGATTATGCCAAAGTTTCTAGAATGGAAGACAGGTTTAATGGGGGAGTCCCAATTGAGAAGGGGAAGAGGGCAGTGGCAGGGTCTCTTTTGGCATGTGTATACGGTACTGTTTTCATGTAGAGGAGTTGGGAGAATTGAGAAGTTTTAGGTTATTGCCGTTGGTGACAGCCTTATGACTTAGTTGTTGAGTGTCAAGAATCCAGTGTTCAGAAGGGACCCTGGTGTAATGGCTGCAGCTTTGGCTGAATTGGAGTAGCATCGAAAGCAATGTCAATGGCGTCTATTTTGGGAGGGCCGGGAAGAGATCCTGTTACTGGAACCACAGTTCTGGGACTGGTGGTGGTTCCCGGAGAGGGTTTGGCTCATCAGCATAACCAGAGGAGGCTGTGAAACAGGAACCAGTCTCTGGGGGAAGGAAATGATGAATAAGGCTGAAAGGTGCAATATCGAGGGGCTGCACCCCAGTAAAGAGCAAGACTCTATCTACTGTGCAGCATTGGGTGCCTTTGGGTGTCTCTGGTTGACTGATGGGTTTGCTACCTCACCTGGGGTTCCTAGGTAACCGTAAGTCTTGGGTAGAACTGAGGACTGTACGCCTTCTTCCCATGTGTGTCACCACTGAGTCGAGCCTGTGACTTACTCTCTCCCCTCAGTATTTGCTCCTTTTATCCAGCTGTGGGGGCCAGCAGCCTCGGCTCTGTGTGAGTGACTTTGTCGAGGAGAATGAGAAGGTGGGTGAACTGTGAACTGTGAGGACCCCCGTCCATGTCTACTTCCCAGGGTAGAAGAGAAGTTTGTGTTGTGTGGTTAGAGTTGAGATCTGGGTTTTGGTTTTGGTGCTTTCTCTCTGGTGATGTGTCCTTGGGTAAGCCAGTTATTGTCTCTGGGTCTTGGTATTCTCCCCTGTAGCTGGCTTGTTGCTCTATTTAAATATAGCCATGCACCATATAACGACATTTTGGTCTGTGACAGACCACATGTAGAACAGTGGTCCCGTGAGGCCATAATGGGCTATATACCATATAGCCTCGGTGGGCAGTAGGCTGTACCATCAAGGTTAACGCAAGCACACTCTGATGTGATGAAATCGACTAATATGTGGTTTTTTTTGGAGAGGTTTTCGCTATAGGGCACGTGCGCTCGCCAGACGGACAGAGAGAGACAGAGAGACAGAAAGCGAGAAATCACCCCCCCAGTGGGGATGGTCACGCCGCAATCCCTTCTCCTCCATTCTCCTCTCGGGATTTTGGGCACGCACGCACACATGCCCGGCATGAGCTTTAAGCCACCGGGTCTGGGACGTGAACCATGGTCGACTATGTGGGAGTCCGGCGACCTAGCCATTACGCTAACTACTGGTTCCCGTGACTAATGTGTTTTTCAGAATGTGCCCCTGCCGCTCATGACTGGACTCAGAAAAAAAAATACTTGAGAGAGTGTGAGTTTCTGGTTGCCCATTATTTTTGGTTGTTTTTTTTTTTTAATCTGAGCCCTGATGTTATCTGTAAAACAGGATAGACATTTATACCTTGCAGGGTTGCGGTAAGATTGCAGGATGGTGATGATGAGAGCGGCAGCTCAAATAAATACCTCAATTTTATCCTCACTAGACAAGGCAGATATGATCATCGTCAACCCTGTTTGCAGATGTAGGTACTGAAGGACAGAGGACTTCGACCAGCTCCCTGCCACAGTCACCTAGTCCAAATGGTGGCACTAAGTGGTTTCCTTCAGGTGACCTGATGGCAGACGCCATGCTCATAACCATGACTCGGAGCTGAGATGGGTGAGATGAGGTGAGGGCGGGGAGAACCCAACATAGTTCCTGGCACATAGTAGGTGCTTATAAATTTGAGTTCCTCCTTCTTTCTTAGAATGCATTTGGAAGCAGAGCTCCCTGTAGGTCTTGTGGCCGGGCTCTTTTGTCCAGTCCATGTTTTTCCAGTTCACAGGGCTTTTCCCCCCTCTTCCCTGCCTGTCCAAATCCACCTTTCGAGACATCCTTATTATTATTTTGGATTTAGAACTATTATTAATTTATTGTTATTACTATTGAAATTTGACCAGAGGGAGAGAGAAAGTGAGAAAGCAAGTCACCAGGTTCGTGAGCTGAACTGTGGTCGGTCATGTGGGAGCCCAGCGCTTCAACCACCATTGCACCGGCTAGCCCCAATATCCTTATTTTTAAACAACAACTTCTCTTTCTCCTCATTCGGAAAGTTTCCTTTCTCGCTTTCCTTCCTAATGGCTGAGCTTGATTATGCAGTCACCCCCTATATTTTTGACAAATTGAAGTGCAATTTACAAAACATAAAAGTAACCTTGTTATATTCTGTGGCATTTAGTGCATTCACAATGCTCTACAACCATGGTCTCTATCTGGTGCCAAACATTTTCAGTACCCACAAGGAAACCTCCCATTAGCAGCCTCTCCCCCTAGCCCCTCCAGAGTCTGCTTTCTGTTTCTGTGGGCTCCCCTACTCCAGACACTCCAGTAAACACAGTTATACAGCACAGGAGCTTCTGCGTCCGACTTCTTTCATTTAGCATCATGTTTTTGTGGTAACGTGGTCAGTACCTCATTCTTCTTTGTGGTTGAATAATATCCTGTCGTATGGAGATGCCCCCTTTAGTTTGAGGTGTTTCCATCTTTTGGCTGTTGTGAATAGTGTTGCTACAACATCTGCTGCTTTTTATGCAAATCTGCCCCCCCCCCATTCAGTTTGGGCCTGGGGGCTGTGACTTCTGATACCCCCTGAGCCCCAGCTATAGGGTGGACTCACTCATAACCCTCTGATCTGTGGGTCTGGCCAAGTCAGAAGGCAAAAGGCTGGAACAGCCAGAGGGAAAAGGGAACAGATCTTGAAGCCTGAGGTGCTGCTGGCACCTTGCTGGTCTCTGCAAACTTTATCTGGTTTAGTTTTTGTCCAGAGGAAAGTAGAAATTGAAAAGGGATGGTTTTATCTCCAGCCAGAGGTGGCGTTTCCCCCTTCCTCTCTTCTTTCTCTTCTGACCCTGGGGCAAGTCTATGATCTGTGTGTGACTTAAGGAGTCCCTGAGCCTCCGGTCTTCATCTGCAAAATGGGGATTATGACTTCCATTGTCCAGGGTTGTCAAAGGATGAAGTGAGATAGAGCCTGTGGAATGCTTCTCTCTTTCTCTGCCAGGATGAGGAAGTGTGGGGTTGGAGACCAGCTGTGGAAGGGCATTTGCATGCGGGGTATTTCAGCGGGATTTCTCTCTGTGAATGCCAGTGCCGTTTTGGGCCCTCTTGGTGGGGAAGGAGGTGAGATTATTCTCATCACCGTTTCTGGCCATCACTGCTACAAAGGTGTTCTCATAAACTTCCTTTTTCTGTAGTTCATATTGGTGGTCAATGTATGAATCTGTGGGATTTGATGTCCTTCCATTCCACCCTCAGGTATAACCAGGCTTTGAGTTAATTTTAGATTTTAGAAAGAAGAGCTTTTTCTCTCTCTCTCACTTTTTTTTTTTTTTGAGAGTTTTTTGCTATAGGGCGCGTGCACTTGCCAGAAAGATAGAGCGAGACAGAGAGACAGAAAGCGAGAAATCACCCCCCAGGGGGGATGGCCACGCCACAATCCCTTCTCCTCCATTCTCCTCTCGGGATCTTGGGCACGCACGCACACACGTCCAGCCTGAGTTTAAGCCACCTGGTCCAGGACTCGAACCACGGTCGACTACATGGGAGTCCAGCGACATAGCCATTACGTCAACTGCTGGTCTTGAAGAGCTTTCTCTTGATTGTGGTCCTTTAAAAAGTGTTTATTAGGTATTTTGTGCTAGGTGTTTTGTGGTGTGTTGTACACAAGTGTCTCTGTGTGTGTGTGTAAAAATATGTAATTTAAAAAAAAAAGATTTTTGCCATAGGGTGCATGCACTTGCCATAGAGAGACAGAGACAGAGAGAGGGAAAGTGAGAAATCACCCCTGGCGGGATGGCCATGCTGCGGTCCCTTTGCCTCCATTCTCCTCTCAGGATTCTGAGCATACATGCACACATGCCCTCATGACTTTAAATTTGCCAGGTCTGGGACTTGACCATGGTTGGTCATGTAGAAGTCCAGTGCCTTAACCACCACCCCACCTGCTGGCCTCTACAAGTTTATTTTTTAAAAGTTTTTTTTTTTTTTTCCCCAGAGAGAGAGACCCTGACCACAACAAGGTCTGCACTGTGCAATCTGCCCCAGCCTCCAACAACTAGGACCACGTGCATGCACACATCTGGCATGTTCAGGGATGTCCCCAGACACAAACCCAGGACCTTGCTCCTGTGGGTCCTATTACATCCCACACCACCACCATCTGGCCCTTCCCTTTACATCTGTGGGAACTGGAAGAGTTTGGGGGCCTGGCAGACCTGGACTTGTACCCTGGCTCTGATTAGCTCTGTGACCCTGGATGATGGGTCATTACCTTTCCGGTTCTTCATCCATAAATATGAGAGTTAATGTGAAAATCAGTCTTGCTGTTTTGTTGCTCTGTCAACCAGCATTCTTTTGGTTTCAAATGATAGATGATGAAATAAAAGCAGTTAAATAGTAAGAGGTGTTCTATATCTCTGGGTAAGAGATCTGGAGTGGAAGGCATGGAGTCTGTTGACTTAGCAGCTCAAACATCCAAGTGTTTTCCCTCTTTTCCCTTTAGCCATCTTTAGCAGGTGGATGATTTTTCCCTTCATTGTCACAGAGTAGCTGCAGCAGCTCCAGGCATCACAGGCAGACCCTATAAAATCCACCACAGCAGAGTAGCAGTTTTTCTCATGGATTCTTTTTTTTTTTGGAGAGGTTTTTGTTATAGGGTGCATGCGCTCACCAGACAGACAGAGAGAGACATAGAGACAGAAAGCGAGAAATCACCCCCCAGGGGGGATGGCCACGCCGCAATCCCTTCTCCTCCATTCTCCTCTTGGGATCTTGGGCATGCATGCACACGTGCCTGGCGTGAGTTTAAGCCACCGGGTCCGGGACTTGAACCGCGGTCGACTACATGGGAATCTGGCGACATAGCCATTACGCTAACTGCTGGTCCCGGATTCTTTTTAACTAGTGAGGAACCTCTTCCCCAGAAGGTCTCTTGCAGACTATTCATTCCTCTTACCCTGTGTCTTAGTCTGGGTGTTTACGTTCATGAATTCTGAGGCAAATGTTGATGTATTATTTGGAAAGTTAGGCCCAGAGAAGTGATGATAAGGAAGAAACGGGGGAGGGTGAGGCCAGGAAAGATGTGACCCGTGACGTAGGGTCTTTTTGCATTGGCTGTTGCGTCATCATGGCCTCCATGAGATCTGGGCTGGCATATTTTTGTGGAAGATAGGGCATTTGGAACTCTTGCAAGGAGAAACCCAACCTGGATCTGTCAGGCAGCACTCTTACTCTCTTATTGGATTTTTTTGGGAGCGTAGTAGAAAGGAACATGTAGATAATATCTTTTAAAATTTATGAATTTTTAAAAGTTATAATTCCTGGTTTACGAATAATCATTTTACATTCTATGGGGTACAGAATGCTTTCTCAAAGCATGCACATAGTGTGTAATTACCAAATCAAGGGTATAGACATCCTCATCATCTTCAGCAGTGAATGTCACATAATGTTGTGCATGTTTGCTAATAGTTCTGATTTTATAAAGAATTATTTACTTAATTTTCGTTGTTTTTTTATTTGACTTTAATTAATTAATTTTTTGAGAGATTTTTGCCGTAGGGTGTATGTCCTTGCCAGAAAGACAGTGAGAGACAGAGAGACAGAAAGTGAGAAATCACCCCCCAGAGGGTATGGCCACGCCGCAATCCCTTCTCCACCATTCTCCTCTCGAGATCGTGGGCACACACGCACACGCGCCTGGTGTGAGTTTAAGCCACAGGGTCTGGGACTCAAACTGTGGTTGACTACATGGGAGTCCTGTGACATAGCCATTATGCCAACTGCTAGTCTCATAATTTGACTTTAATTTAAAGTGAGAAAACATGTCATCAGGTCTGAGACTTGAACCGCAGTGGGCCATGTGGGAGTCCAGCGCCTTAACCACCTTGCCACCTACCAGCCTGGTTTTTTTTTTTTTTTTTAATATGTGTTAAATTGCAGCGACATGTTTATTTGTCTATAGAATGCAGTTCCATAGTCTAGCCCACTTGTTTACATGTGCTAAATCTCAGTGCCTTTCTCTCCCCTTGCTTTATATGGAGAGGAATTGTAGCCAGTGGTTAAGCACAAGGACTCCGGGGTCACGCTGCCTGGGTTCAGATCAAAGCACTGCAGTGCACCAGCTCCTTAGTGACCTGTGCTCCCCTCTTAGGAGTGTCTGCAGGATTAGACGAGTTAATATTTGAAAGCACATGAAATGGTGCCTCGCAGACTCAACGCTCTGCATGTGTTTGATTCAATGCATTGACTATACAGACTCAAAGCTGTGATTTCAGTCTCCCAGAAGCTTGCCTTTTACTTTAAGATGTGACCTTGTGGTTTTATCTCCAGAACTGAGCTCGTTGACATGTCTTGTGTAATGTCCATCAGCCGTGAATGGTTATCAAGTCTATGACTGTGAGGGTCACAGGTAAAAACTTTGCAGACTCTCTTTGCCTTCATGACCAACTTCCCTTAGCCAATGGTAGTAACGCCAGAGGTGCCATTCATCTGTCCTCCTGCTGACCTTTGCAGTGATGGGGAGCCTGTCTGCTTTAGCTCCACCACTTCGCAGAGTGCTTGGTCCTGCAGGTGTTTGAGAATTGCTTGTCAGTGAATTCCTACCTTGAGATACATGTGTTTTACATCCTTTGCTATTCTGCAAATGGCTTGAGGACAGGGTGTAGATTGCTAATGTTTTTAGGTGATACTTAGATGGGTGAATGACTGAATGGATCCCCCAGTTGAGGAGACAGTATGTAGACACATATGCAAAGAGAATACCATTGGGAGAGGCTAGGAGACTCCCCTAGAGTCTCAGGTTGTGGAGTTTAATGTTTTGCAACTAGTAGGCAAAAAAAAAAAAAAAAAAGAAAAGGAAAGAAAGAAAGAAAGAAAAATGAAAAATAAATAGCCTGCTGCCCTGTGACACTTGCCTAGCTGCTGACTCCTCTTTTTTTAATCCCTGTCTCTTGTGATTCATCTAAACTGTGTGGCTTGATGCATAGCACAGATTGAAGGGCAGAGGCTGGAGGCAGGAAGGTGGCCAGAAAAAGTTTGGGCCTGATGTGCTAAGGACATAAAGGTCGAGTGGGGTCGTGGTGGGAATGAAAGCTGGAGAGTGGGGGAGTCTTGGGGCAGGCCTTTTCCCCTCTCTGGGCTCATTCTTTCCTTTCAGTGGCATTCATTGAGTGGTTACAGCATGCACCATTCTGAGCCCAGGGCACACAGCAGGTGTCTGTTCTCCTGGAGCAAGCATTGTGTGTTATACTGGGTCGTTGGAAAAGTCATGACATATTTTTTCTATGCAAAAATAGAGAGGTCGTGATGTGATGGAGAGTGAAGGGCGTTGATTTCAGGGGGCGGTTAGGGAAGGACTTGTCAAAGAGGTGGCATTTCGGGCCTTGTCATGGGGAGATCTGGGGCAGAGTTCTTTTGGAGGATAAATACGTAACAGCTTTAAGTGGGAACCAGGCTCCCCATCACTGCAAAGGTCAGCAGGAGGACAGATGAATGGCACCTCTGGCGTTACTACCATTGGCTAAGGGAAGTTGGTCATGAAGGCAAAGAGAGTCTGCAAAGTTTTTACCTGTGACCCTCACAGTCATAGACTTGATAACCATTCACGGCTGATGGACATTACACAAGACATGTCAACGAGCTCAGTTCTGGAGATAAAACCACAAGGTCACATCTTAAAGTAAAAGGCAAGCTTCTGGGAGACTGAAATCACAGCTTTGAGTCTGTATAGTCAATGCATTGAATCAAACACATGCAGAGCGTTGAGTCTGCGAGGCACCATTTCATGTAGTGGGCAAAAGACCAGGGAGCTGTGTGCACTGTGGCTAAGAATTCCCGTTTTATTCTGAGTGTGATGCAAAGTTGGAGGACATTTGTATTTTCCCACCAGTGTCCTTTGTGATTATTTTCTTCTTCATGAAGACTATCCTTTGAAGAACCCCTTTGCCAAAAATGTGTGTTTATGAAGTAATAGAACCAACCACGGGCAATTATTTTAGGCTTTTAAAGCATTGGGAAATAACTTAAGGATCACAATGCATATCTTTGAGGATTTCCTTAGAATCTAAAGATCACAGACTAATATACTGTCAAGTAAATCTTTCAGGCCTCTTGTGTTTCAAATGTTCTTTCCAGAGCTGCTTGCCGTATGATTTTAAAAAAATTACTGCCACCTACTGATAAAAAGAGAAAGAGGAGTTCTGGTACAATGAAAACCCTGAAGCTTGTGGATTTCTTCTGCCACTCATCTGGTCTTGCACCCTGCATGCACGACCTGGAAATAGCTCTGGGGAAAGGGTGTGCTGGTCCGTTTCCTTTTTTCCTGGTCCCGACCGTCTTGCCTCTTGTTTCTGTGTCTTTCTGCCCCAAATCATCATGCAGCATCAGGAGAGTGGTGCTGACTGAGGAACTGTCCCTGTGTTCCTGTGTCCGCGGGGTCAGCCTCATAGAACCCAGTTAATCCTTTGTTTGCAGTTGACCCATGGTTTTGCTGAGTCCGTCGATTTAATGTCCCCAAGACACCCTAACCCTGGCCAGCAGCTCTTTCTTAGTGTACTCCTTACCACCCCACCCCCATTATTAAATCCTCAACTGCTGTGTTTCTGATTTGCATTTTCCATGGCTGACTGAATCTGCTGACTTCCGTTTTCTTTTTCTGTTACAGATCCTGTGCTCAGGTGACTGTGAGTACCATTTTCCTCTCCGTTCTTGTGTTGTTCACTACTGCCCCCTAATGGACACAGTGCAAATCAACAGGATGTGAAAAATCACCTCAAATGCTCATTTGCTAAAACTCACTTAGTTCTCAGTGTTTCTTTAGAAGTGGGGTGAGGATGAAAACAGTAAATGAAAAATTCAATTCATTGTGAAATGCTAACAAGTAAAACACTTATGTTTTCTATGATTTTTCCCTCCCACCTATATCCATGGGTGATTTAAAGTAGTTGAAATTGTAATGCAGTATGATTTTTAAAATATATTTTATATGCTATTCTGCCATAAATATTTTCTTGTGTTGCTTTCTTGCTACATTTAAAAAATAGTGTATAGTGTTCTTGTAGCCTTTGGAAAACCAGAGGTGGCCTCCTGTGTGTATTTCTTTCACATAGAGGGTGAATCCCATTACTCGTCCATCCTCTGTCTATATTAAAATGAGAAAAATAAGGTTATGAAAGTAAATTTTTAATGAAACTATCAATAAATATATTCAATTGAAAGCACCATCTCTTCTGGGATTATATCCTTACTAACTTTTATTTTGGTTTTTAAAATGTTCCCCTAAGAAAATAAAGATAATAGTAGTTGGTAGCTTTTTATTTTTAAATATGTCTTTTTGGAAAAAAAAATTGGTAGCTTTTGCTTGTCTTCAATATTTGGGAACTTTTTTTTCCTTTCTGATTGATAAAATCCCCAATTCTGTGAACCATAAAGATAAAATAATTACATTATTCCCACAGTGACATATAAAGGGGGTGGCTCTTGCTGAAACCTTCTAATAAAACAAATCTCACTTAATAACAGTAATTACGCAAAGCCTGTGCAAACAATGGGGAAAGTTCTGCAGTTGGTGTTTTTCTTCTTGTTAATCGGTTGGGTAAATCAGCTACCAGGTACTCTGTGCAGGCTTGAGTCACTGGTACAACAGAAGAAACCTATCTGCACAGATAGGTTATTTTAAAGGAGGTCAGCAAGGGAATTGTAATACGCTTTAGAAGTTTTAATTTAAAGTCTGTTGTGTAGCAAGTTTACGGTGGAGGTGCCATTTCATTAGCTGTGTTTAGTTTTTCCTTTCTGTGTTCTAGGCATCAGCTGCGATATGGTCAAATCCACATCTACAGCCACTGAGATTGATTTGGCTATTGAATCAAAAAACTTTTCAGTAATAAATAGGACCACTCTGAGTGGCCACGTTCTTTGGCGTCCCTCCAAGGTCACTGACGAGAAGATTTCATTCAGGGACCTCACTCCTGGGACGAGCTATCTTATCAGCTTTTCGAATGGCTCCAGTACCTGCTGTCTACAAGTGCAAACAAGTGAGCAAGACTTTTCTTTTGGGAGGCATTATGAGGTTTTTTTTTTTTTTTTTTAAAGAATTATTTATTTATTTTTATTTATTGTTACTATTATTTTCATTTGCTCGCCAGAGAGAGAAAGAGAGCGGAAATGAGAAAGCAAGCCACCAGGTCCAGGACTTGACCTCAATTAGCCATATGGGAGTTGGGATCTTTACCACTACACTGCCTACTGGCCTCAGAGTGTAGGGTTTTGAGAATGTATTTACATGTCATCAGGCAGTAAGTTTGAAGTCATGTTATCTGAGCTTTGATAATTAAAGAGCAAGTACATCTTCTGTCTTTCTTCTCCCCGTTCTTGGCCCTGTTGCTTGGGTTGAGGAAGAGCTTGGCTTCTCTGAGAGTTCTCTAACACTTTTCTTTTGGCCTGGTCTTTAAGCAGCACTCTGATGGCAGAGCATTTAAGAGTACGAACTTGGAATCAGAGAGACCTTGGTTTTCTTCCTGGGTCTGCCAGCTTCTGACTGTGTAGATCTGGGTAGGTCATTGATTCTATCAGTTTCTTCCTCTTTATTAATATACACATATAATTTAAAAAAAGTCTTAAGATGAGCTTTATTTTCTGAGCTCTTGAAACGTAAGAATCTGCTTTTCTAATACCTTCCCGGAATCCCTGCGTGAATTAACAAAATCTAGTTGTTAACATACTTCTTCTCTTTTTTGGTTGTCAGAGGGCATCCGTGCTCACCAGGGAGTGAGGGGGAGTAGGGTTTCGTCATGCTGTAATCCTTTCTCCTCCATTCATTTCTCCATCCTGTCAGGATTTTGCCACTAGGGCCAGGGTTCTAATTACAACCGACCACGTGGGTTCTGGCTTCCCTTAACCATTATACCATGTGGCCGGCCCCATTTCTCCTTCTTTAACATGGTACCAGTAGCCTTCCTCATGAAGTTTTGAATGAATGCTTGCTCAGCATCTGTACGATGGCCAACCCCAGGTGCGGATCACTGTAA